AGGACAAACTTATGATCAAGTTATTTTGGCCGGAGACTTTAATGGAACTATAGATCGGCTGGATAGACAATCACAAAAAGGCAACGAAATTAGTGGAAAATTGCCAAAGAACTTTTTTGAACTAGTCAAACAGGAAAAACTAGAAGATGTGTGGAGGAAATGGAACCCAACGCAGAAAGATTTTACTTTTTATTCCAATAGACATTGCTCTTTTTCCAGAATTGATATGATTTGGATGTCAGAAGAATTGTCAATGAAAACACAAAAAATAGAAATCCTGCCTAGATGTAACTCGGATCACAACCCTGTTTTGTGGACCTCTACTGAAAGGAATAAATCCTTTCTTTGGAGAATAAATGAAGATTTGTTGGATAAAAAAGGTGTTATGGAAATGTTAAAAGAAGAAACAAAACAATATTTCCAACAAAATCTGAATAAAGAGACTTCAATACAGGTAGTGTGGGACGCTTACAAAGCTGTGATGAGAGGGATTCTCATCTCACAAAATGTGAAGCAAAAGAAGGAAAAACTTCAAAGGCAAGTGGAAGTATTGGAACAAATAGCCCAAAAAGAAAAAGAACTGAAGAAGAAACCGGGGAAAAAGAAGATTATTAGAGAACTACAGTTGCTGAAAGAACAGCTGAATGATTTTTTGAACCAAGAGCTTTATTGGAATTTAAAGAAGTTACAACAGAAATCTTTTGAAGGGGCGAATAAACCGGGGAAATATCTAGCTTGGCAACTCAAAGCAAGAAAAGAAAGAAGAATGATAACCAAAATTATAGAAGAAGGAAAAGAATTCGTTGACCCTAATGGTATAAAGAGAAGTTTCTTCAAGTATTATGCTAAATTGTTTCAAGCAAATAGAATTGATCTTGAGAAGATTGAAAGATATTTAGAAGAGATTCCACTATCCAAAATAAGCAAAGAGTTTAAAGATTTACTAAATGGGCCAATCCAAACAGAGGAAGTGAGGAAGGCAATTGAAGAAGCGAAGTTGGGGAAGGCGCCAGGGCCGGACGGATTTACCGCGAAGTTTTATAAAAAAATGAAAGAGGAACTTGTCCCGGCCCTGGAAGCTTTATCCAACGACATACGGATGTGCAAGAAAGTGCCAGACTCATGGAAAGAGGCAATCATTTCATTGATACCAAAGGAAGGCCAAGAACTAACGAATGTAAAGAACTACAGGCCAATTTCTCTCCTAAATAATGACTATAAGATCTTTGCAAAAATTATTGCAGAAAGAGTGAAAAACTACTTACAAACAGTGATTTCAGAAGATCAAGCGGGCTTTCTGCCAAAAAGACAAATTCGAGATAATGTAAGAATAGTAATGGACGCAGTGGAATACTATGAAAAGCACCCTGAAAAAGAGGTAACTTTTTTGTTTGTGGATGCGGAAAAAGCATTTGACAATCTTAATTGGAAGTTTATGTTACAGATGATGGAAAAAATTGATACGGGACAACAGTTCAGAAATTGTATTGAAGCTATCTATTCGGAACAAAGAGCTACACTGAATGTAAATAAAGAATTGACCGATAGCTTCAAGGTACAGAAAGGTACTCGGCAGGGTTGTCCCTTGTCACCGCTATTGTTCATTTGGGTGTTGGAGGTACTTTTACAAAAAATACAACAAGATCAAGAGATTAAGGGTTTGACACATAAAGGTTTTAAATATAAATACCGTGCTTTTGCAGATGACGTAATGTTTATTGTGGAAAACCCGACGGAAGAGTTACCGTTACTATTTCAAAAAATAAAAGATTTTGGAGAATTGGCAGGATTTTATGTAAACAAGAATAAAACGAAGCTTATTTGCAAAAATATGACGAAACAAAAACAAGTGGAACTACAAAATTTGGTACAATGTGAAGTGGTAAAGAAGACGAAATACTTAGGCATTGAGTTAACTGCAAAGAATATAGACTTATATAAGAACAATTATGAAAAACTATGGGCTAAGTTAACCCAAGACTTTAAGAAATGGGACAAAATGAACTTGTCACTGATGGGAAGAATTTCAGTTATAAAAATGAATGTCCTACCACGTTTGATGTTCCTGTTCCAAACAATACCAATACTTAGTAAGACAGATTTGCTGCAAAGGTGGCAACAAGAACTATCAAAGTTTGTTTGGGCAGGCAAGAAACCGAGAATTAAGATGAAAATACTTTGTGATGCCAAGGACAGAGGTGGACTACAGCTACCAAATCTCAGATTATATTATGAAGCGGTTTGTATGACCTGGTTGAAGCAATGGGTGAAATTAGAAAATGATAAGCTATTGGGGTTAGAAGGTCATGATTGTAGATTTGGTTGGCATGCATATTTATGGTATGACAAAACAAAAATGGATAGCTTTTTTAAGCATCATGTGGTAAGAAAAGCATTATTTGTGGTATGGATGAGATATAAAAAATATTTTGGTGATGTAAGGCCACTTTGGATTGTACCAGTGGAAGTGTTAACATCTTACTCAAGACGTAGAGACAAAGATTGGTTGCTGTATAAAGACATAATAAAAAAAGAGGGAACAGAATGGGTAATGAAAAAGCAGAATGAAATTGAATATGAATATGAATGGTTGAAATACATGCAGATCTCTGACCTTTTTAGGTCAGACAAAAGAAATTATGGTTTTAGAGAGGAAAAAAATGAAATGGAAAAGGTATGGGAGAGTGGAGGGGGAAAAGATATCTCTAAAATGTATAAAGTGTTGTTAAAATGGTATACAGAAGATGAGACTGTGAAAGAGCAAATGTTAAAATGGGCAATAAATATGAACAAGGAAATTGACATAGAAACCTGGGAATATTTGTGGAAAAATGCTATTAAGATATCACCCTGTACCAATGTTAGAGAGAATTGTTACAAAATGATGTATAGGTGGTATATGACCCCAAAGAAAATTGCAAATATGAACCAGAATATGTCAAATAAATGTTGGAAATGTAAAAAACATGAGGGCTCATTTTACCATATGTGGTGGACTTGTGAAAAAGCTACACTCTTTTGGACAAAAGTCCACAAAGAAATGCAAAAAATACTTAAGTGCTCTTTCAAGAAAGCGCCGGAAATTCTGCTTTTGGGACTAAAAATGGAAGAAGTTAACTCGACTAAAAGGACTTTATTCTGGTACCTTATTACAACAGCGAGGATGATTTATGCACAATTTTGGAAGACTGAGAAAGTACCAGAAATCGAAGACTGGATACAAAAAGTTCTGTTCATGGCAGAAATGGATAAAATCACAAAGAAGTTGAATAATCAAGAAGACAACGTGTTTTTTCAAGAATGGAATGACTTTAAAATATATCTGGAAAAGAACTGGGATGTAAAACAAAACTTAATATGTTTAGATCAATATTAAGTCAAATGATGTTATCTTGAGGTTGGATGATAACAAACGATGTGTTAATGATATAATGAAATTTGTAAGAAGGGGGAGAAGCATTGCGGGAAGCTACTGGAGGGAGGGGAGGAAGGGAATGAGGTAAACAATGGACTGAATGATTTAATCTTATATGTTATGTTCCTAAGAAAATAAAATTTGTTTACCAGAATATTGATCTTGATAATTGGTTGCAAATATGGAAAACAAATATGTTAAAATAACAAAATCAGTTTCTTTTAAATAGAATCTATATAAAATGTTTTATAGGTGACATATAATGCCAGAGAAATTAGCCAGAATATACCCTGGAATGTCTGACGAATGTTGGAAATGTAAGATACAGGTGGGAAGCTTTTTTCATGTAAAGAGGTGATGTTATACTGGAGAAGGGTTCATGAAATGTTACCAAAAAAAGTTGATATTGCTACCATTTAAACCTGAAATGTTTTTACTTAATATTATGTCTGATGTAAAAGATAAGAAAGTTAAACACTTAATTATACATATAGTTACGGCAGCAAGAATTCTTTATGCTAAGAATTCTGTATGCTAAATACTAGAAAAAATTGGAGATACCAACAGAAAATGAACTTTTGTCAAAAATCTTTGAACCAACCAAAATGATTATATTGTCGGACTTGTTAAAAGACCAAAGTAAACAAAAAGTGTGAGACAATTGGATACCATTTTATGACTGGATGGAAAGAAACTTTGAAGATCACAAACAATAAATATAACTCATTAACTTGGAGAAACTCTAACTTGAATGGCATAGAACCTTTTTTCAGGAACCATTATAGAAGATGTTAGCAATTTGATTAAGCGTTACTAGCTTTAATAAATACTTAAAAGAAAGAGATTGGAAACAAAGAATTAATACAGAAAATTTGTAACAGCTTTTATATAAACTTGTTGGAACTTCCCTTTATGTCGTATCCCATCCCTTGTACCCTTCCCGTCCTATAATGTGTTAAAACCAAAGAAAAATTTACATACAAGATAATTTATTTATTATTTATTTATTTATTATTCACATTTCTATCCCACCCTCCCCGGAGGCTCAGGGCGGCTTACAGGGCGTATCGCCAGATAAAACAGTAAAACAATACCAAATAGTAAAATACATCACCATTAAACCAATTTTGGTGCTCCTCTCAGTCAATTTCCAAATTCCAAATTACACTTTCTAAAAGCAAGATGGCCACCCCCTACACCTCCCATTCTCGCCCATAGTGCAGCGATTATGGGGCATTGATGGAACGTGCCCCCTCCAGATGTCCATATATGGGGCGTTGATGGTAGACTAGTGCGTTGGTAGTGCACTAGTGATGGACTGGTGGTGGTGGCTCCTATTCAAAAGCCTGGGCTAGACAGTTTCTAATCTACACAAGGCCATATAACTATGTTGCTACTTTGTCTTCTTATTACTCTTCTGGGTTTTTAGACTCCCTTCTTGGCATGCTTCCCTGAGATGCCAGGTTTACTCTGTTTATGTGTGCAGCAACATCCTCCATGATCTATCTGGTGAAGTCCAGCCACTGTTCCCCTATATTTCTGACCATATCTGTGACATAAAGTTGTTGTTTCCCTCTAATAAAAGGTCCATGCAATGCAGAGTGCAGTAAGGTAGGATGTGGTGGGCCTGGACCAGACCATTGCAATGACTGTCTACACTACTACTACAAATCTAAAAACAACACAAGGTAAGAAGAACATACTTATATAGTAATTGTTACCTATTCACCCAACACATTTATTGCAATAAACCTTTCTTCTTTAACTTACTTGATATGTACTGTACTTGTAACGGCCATTGGCCATATGCAATAAATCGAACTGAACTGAACTGAACTTACTTGATAACATTGCTTAAAGCTGGGTAGAGTTACTGATTCATGAGACTGTTACCAAGCATTCAAATTTATAATATTAGTCCATTTTAATATATTGAACAAAGTTACAGTGAGCAAACTATTAACACTGAAAAACTGAGTTACATGAATATTTAATATTAGAGGCATGACACCAAATCCATTTTTTAGAATGCAGTGTTAGGATGGGGTGATTGAGAACAAAAAAGCAGCAGAGAGGTAGGAAGGATGCTTAATTCCATACCCACTACTTCTCTGTTCCAGATCACACATACACACCCATGTCTGTGGCTTCTCTGGGATTTCAAATGTGTGTGTCCTCTCATATGTGTACCTGATACTCCACAGAAGCATGGAAGCTGTGTGGAGTTGGAGTAAAGAAATGAGAGCTAAGGTTCATCACCTCCCTTCCCACACACACACACAATTTTCTATTCACAGTTCCGTCTGTTAAAAGCATTGGGCTATAATACATGTTTCCATATAACATTTAGTCATCCCCTGTAGATTACTGAACAGTCTGGGTTGTAAAAAAAAAAAAAAAGATACCAAGCCACAGCCATTTATGCAGAAGATACCAAGATTAAATTATACAGTGTAGATATGTGAAAGGGGCCAATCATGGGATAATGATGGCTTCTGACTAGGCACGAACCACATTTTTACAGTTTAGTTTGTGGTTCATGACTGAACCATGACCCATATCCTCTTTCTGCTCCCCGCCACTTTCTGTGGGGAGCAGAAAGCAGACATTAAAACAGCTCCCAGCCATTTAAACCAAATGGCTGAACGCCACTCCACTGCTCAGCTGTTTGGTTTAAATGGCTTGGAGCTGAACCCAAGAAAGCCCCTTTAAACAGCTGAGCCACTTGGAGCTGAGCAGTTTGCTCTGCTCAGCTCAGCTGTTTAAAAAGGGGCTTTCATGGGCAATGAGCCCCAGGGGCTAGCTGCCAAAGAAAGCCCCTTTAAACAGCTGAGCCATGTGAAGCAAACTGCTCAGCTCTGGATGGCTCAGCTGTTTAAAGTGGCTTTCTTGGGCACTGAGACCCAGGGGTTAACTACCTAAGAAAGCCCATTTAAACAGCTGTGCAGCATGGAGCAGTTTTCTCCCTGCCTCTCAGCTGTTTAAAGGGGATTTCTTGGCCCCAGGAATGGTGCCAAAGAATGCTCCTTTAAACATCTGAGAGGTGCAGAGCAAATTGCTCCATGCCTCTCAGCTGTTTAAAGGGACTTTCTTGGGCAGCGAGACCCAGAGGCTAGCTTCCCAAGAAAGCAGAGCCCCAGGGCTGGCTGCCCAAGAAAGCCTCTTTAAAAAGCTGAGTGAAACGGAGCAAATTGCTCCACAAGGAGCAGTTTGCTCCACAAGGAGCAGTTTGCTCCATGCCTCTCACTGTATTAAGGGGCCTTCTTGGGCAGTGAGCCCCCAGGGCTGGCTGCAGAAGAAAGCCCCTTTAAACAGCTGAGTAGTACAAATAGGGCTGCCAAGCTGCGGCGGGGGATCCGCACGTCTTCACAGGATCCCTGCTGCAGAGGACAGCGATATGCGTTGCACCGCCGTCGCCAGGATATGATGCTACGTATCGCTCTGGCAATAGGACTCCAAACAGCCCCATTGCCAGAGCGACGCGTAGCATCACATCCTGGCGATGGTGGTGCAACGCGTATCGCTGTCCCCTGCGGCAGGGATCCTGTGAAGACGTGTGGATCCCCCGCCGCGGCTTGGCAGCCCTAAGTACAAAGCAGCTTGCTCCATGCCTCTCAGCAGTTTAAAGGGTCTTTCTTGGACAGCGAGACCCAGGAGCTAGCTGCCTAAGAAAGCCCCTTTAAATAGCTGTGCAGCACAGAGTTTTCTCCCTGCTTCTCAGCTGCTTAATAGGGAATTGTTGGGCAGTGAGTCCCAGGACTAGCTGCCCAAGAAAGCCCCTTTAAACAGCTGAGAGGCACAGAGGAAATTGCTCCATGTGGAGCAGTTTGCTTCATGCCTCTCAGCTGTTTAAGAACAGAAGAACATAAGAGAAGCCATGTTGGATCAGGCCAATAGCCCATCCAGTCCAACTCTCTGTGTTCCACAGTGGCTAGAACCCAGCTGCCATCAGCAGGGCCAGAACTCCAGAAGCCCTATGGTATCACTGTTGCCCCCCAAGCACCAAGAATACAAAGTATCACTGCCCCAGACATATTATTCTATCCGTACCTTGCAGCTAGTAGCCAGTGATGGACTTCTGCTCCATCTGTTTATCTAATCCCCTCTTGAAGCTGTCTGTGCTTGTAGCTACCACCATTTCTTGTGGCACTGAATTCCACATGTTAATTACTCTTTGGGTGAAGAAGTACTTCCTTTTATGTGTTCTAAGCCCTACTGCTCATCAACTTCGTTGAGTGCCCACAAGTTCTTGTATTGTGAGAAAGGGAGAAAAATACTTCTTTCTCTACCTTCTCTGTCCCATGCATAATTTTGTAAGCCTCTATCATGTCATCCCTCGGTCGTCATCTCTCCAAGCTAAAGAGCCCTAACCTCTTTAACCTTTCTTCATATGGAAAGTGTTCCATCCCCTTAATCATTTTAATTGCCCTTTTCTGCACCTTTCCAATGCTATATATCTTTTTTGAGGTGCGGTGACCAGAGCTGAACACAGTATTCCAAATGAGGCTGCACTATAGATTTATACAGGGGCATTATGATACTGGCTGATTTTTTTCAATTGCCTTCCTAATAATCCCCAGCATAGCATTTGCCTTTTTTATTGCACCGCACACTGAGTCAACATTTTCAGTGAGTTATCTACTACGATTCCAAGATCTCCCTCTTTAAAAGGGGCTTTCTTGGGCAGTGAGCCCCAAGGGCTAACTGTCAAAGAAAGCCCCTCTCTCAGTGTTTAAAGTGAATTTCTTGACTGCCAAAGAAAGCCCCTTTTATCAGTTGAGAGGCACAGAAGTAATTGCTCCACACAGAGTTATTTGCTCCATGCCTCTCTGTTGTTTAAAGGGGCCTTCGTGGGCAGCGAGGTCCAGGGGCTAGCTGTCAAAGAAACCCCCTTTAAACATCTGAGCTGCACAGAGCTGTTAAAGCTTTAAAAAGACTGCACAAGAAAGCGTAAAACAGCTGAGTGGCAGGGAGCCCCAGCAGCTCAGCTGTTTTTGCGGCTTTCTGCAGAAGCAGAAAGCATAGGTTTAAAGGGACTTAAGTCTTTTTAAATCCCTGTTGTCTGCTCTGGCCAGGAAGCAGCACAAAACCCACGAACTGCCTTGGACTTCAGTTCCTGAACCACGAACAGGGCAAAATTCATTGCAAATTTTGCTTCTTGGTTCCGTTTGTGGTTGTCCCTACTACTGACCACCCTGCACTGTCCAACCTCATCCCACTTCCTTTCATACTACTAGTCTGTTGCTAAACTGTGGCATTTGTTGCTAAGCTGTGCTATTTTTTGATGCAAGTCTACTGGACCCCCCCCAAAAAAAAAATTCGGGCTTCCCAAAAAAATCCTGGATCCCAATACCAGTATTCAGATCCAGGATTTCTCAAAAATCCCAATTTTTTTAAGAGTCCAATAGAACCAAGAAGAAAAAAAACAGAAAAAACCACACAGCAGTGGCAGAGCCACAAAAAACACATTGCTTCTGCCACTCAGTTGTTTTTTGGGCTTTCTTCTGCAGTCCTTTTAAACAGGGTACATTTAAAGGGACTGCAGAAGAAAACCCAATACAGCTGAGCAGTGGGAGCACTCTGCTCCTGCCATTCAGCTGTTTTTTGCAGCTTTGCCGACCTTCCCAGTAATTCCTGAAAATATATGGGATTTTTTTCAGGATTTTTGTTGTTGTTTTCCCAATAAATCTTGGATACTTTTGGGATGCCAAAATATACTAGAAAAATACTAATAAAGAATTTTTGGGTATATTTTGGGGTTGGATAGATCCAAATGCACACCCCTACTTTCACATACTATGGATGATCCAGGTACTTGTAGGTCACAAGATAAAGGAGACAGTACCATTTGAAGGATCACCTTATGTGTCAGTGTTCTTGATGTTATGTGGGTAAGACGTTTGGTAATTAATGAGGTAGAAACTAATTATTTCATATTTATATTGTACTCATAGGGGGCTAATAGAGGTGTACTGGAAATGTAGGCAGAATACCAAGAGGGGCCTCATTTCCACCTCTCTGACAATAGTTAGTATTTTCGATCTGATCTAATTTACTGCAGCTAGAGCCAGTAAAAGTTAGTTTTTTCATAGATAAGTCTGCATCATAGTTGGAAAGTTGCTGTTCTAACAGTTCAATCAGTTATTTTCACAAAATGCACTAACAATTCTGGCTATGCCTTTTGTCTTATACAATGTAGAATCTGTGTTCCCAATTGTCCAACTGGCCACTACAGTGCAGATAAGAAGCGCTGCAAAAAATGTTCAGCCAACTGTGAAACTTGTTTTGGAGGTCACAATGACCAGTGCAATACTTGCAAACCTGGTTACTATATCCATGAAGAAACCAGAAATTGCATTTCCAGCTGCCCAGATGGATTTTACCTGGATAATAGTCAGTATTCTTAAATCATTTAATATGTTTAAACACCTGCCAATAGGAATGTTCATGTTGATAAGAACTAGATATATTTGCATGATTTGACACAGGGAAAACATGGATTTTCAGAGAGATCTGTTGTTTCTGCTTCAGGCACTGTGTGCAAATTTGAATCAGCAAAAATTGTGTTTAAATCCCTTCTAATTAAGGCTCTAATTAACTTTCCAGGTGACCACTATACACTTACAGTTTCAAGCTTAGATGGCTTTTAAAAGAAATAGGACAATTTCCTAGATGGCTGAGTGGGACTGTCACGTTCAGAGGCAGTATAGCTCCAAATGCCAGTTACTGGAAGGAAGCAAAAGCAAGGGAATGTTTTGGCCATCCTGAGCATTTGTTTGGCCATTGTGGAAAACTGAATGCTGGACTAGATGGATCATTGGTTTGATCTAGTAGGGCTCTTTTTATGTTTTTTTTTATTTCAAATGAAACATTAATGGCTTTTCCCCAAGATAAGAACCACCACCACAACAGAAAATGTGTTGCACCAGCTACTCATTTTGTAAATGCTTGCAAAAGCAACATTGTAAAAATACTGAGGGTAAAAATGTCAGGTAATATGAGCCTTCATTTTTACTTAGTAGAAATGCATAGGAGATGAGGGCAAGAAAATAATTAAATGTTAAACTGCACCACCAATTTTTTTCAAATGGTTGTTGAGCGTTTTTTCTTAAAAATCCAACTCACAATTTATTGCCACAGAACAAAAATCATTCCCCCTTCTAAAACATATTTTATTGCCCTTCAGTCTTCTCTCCTTGCCACTTGGTGGTCCATACCATTAGCTGCTGTCATTTTTCCAGCCCTCCAGCAAACAAGACGATAAGTTCTTTGCAATGCTGAAAAACACTGTACCATGAACACAGTGAAGAAAGGGACTACTGTTCTCTACTAGCAACAGTGAGGGGTTCCATAAATTGTATTAGCAGCCCTACTTTCTTTAAAAAAGAAAAGAAAGCCACACCGAAGAAAGGTTGTCCAGAGATGACAGCAGATGGACAATTGCAAAGTATTCAACTCATTTATGGCTAATGTGGGTTGCAGTTCTTCTGGAATAATATTTTTGACACCACCTTCTGAGCCTCTGACCTCTCAAGCTCAAAGAGACAGCAGACACTACAACTCCTTCAGAACTATGCCCTAGCTGTGTCTTTATCTTCTTTTGCATCCCTTCTATTTCCAGCCATCTGGATCTGCGTTTTGGTTTATAGTCCAACAGTTCTCTGCCATAACCTACCTCAAAACTTTCCTTTGTCTGCTAGCAGCTGGATTATCATCACTGCCCTAAACTGTGCCTCAATTTTCCCTCTTTGTCTGTTTGTTTACTTTCCTGCCCCTCTTCTCAATTTACAACTTTTATAAAAGTGACACTGAAGTTTAGTCATCTTTTTTAGTTTTAGGACATCTTGGTTTATATTGGGTTTGTAAACCCTGCCATCCACCAACACGTCTTATTTCATCCTTTCCGCATTTTTTCTCCTCCTCTGTTTCCATATTCTTTTGTCAAGCATGTAGATTTCATTTTCTTGTGTGCCTGCAGTACTGTTATCTATTTAGAGGATAGAAGCATCTGTAAATATAAATTAAATCAATATCTGAAAGAAAGCTTTTCCTGATGTTTCTGTTTTCTACACAGTAAATGCTTGCACCAGTCATTAGTGCAGGATCTCATTATAACCTTAAAGGCAGCATTTACTATCCCTCATTTTTTCAAAAAGAAATACATTCTTAGATATATGCAGTTATTTCAGATTATTTGAAAAAGGTTACTATTTTATCCATATGGAATATTGAACTTTATTTTAGCTTTCAGTTCCTGTTTATTGTATCAAGAAAGAAAATAAGCGATGAGATATATCCATTACATTTTATTGACCTGGATTTTCTGAACAGTATTTCTTTTTCTTTCAGATAAAATTGTCTGCCGTAAATGCAGTGAAAACTGTAAGACATGCACTGAATTTCAAACCTGCACAGAATGCAGACATGGCCTAAGGTAAGGAAATGATAGATTGCACTATCATAGTAACCAAGGAGGCACATGTATATACATATAACAAATAAAGTTGCATAATACAGTTCTTTAAGCCTTACTTTGCATCCCATTTAAATGTCAGAGAGTTGTTTATTGTATGCTTGCATTAATAAGCTCCTGGGTAACAGTGGATAAAAAGCCTTAAGTAGGAGGAAAATAGGTGCTTTAGCTCTTGCACTTGATTTTTCCTTCTATTTTGACTTGTAATATAACATTTATGAATAACTGTAGAGAAACAATTGATGATTGAAAATTTTGGATGTACTACTCTGATAGTTACAAATTATTTACTTATCTTTATTGTTTCTCTTTTGATGTCAGCTTTTTCACTTATCTTAAGTACAGCAGAGTTAACTTCCATTATGCTGCAATGTGGTCTTAGGTTATATATGAAGATGTATGTTAGTTTGTCTGTAGCAGTAGAAAAGAGCAGGAGGCCAGTAGCTCCTTAAAGACTAATAGAATTTGTAGCAGGGTATGTCAAAGAATCCCTCAAAAGATTTCACCAGGCTTTCAACAACTTCCACCCCACCATCAGTCTAATTATGAATTAGTCGATACAAGAAATAAGCTTCCTGAACACCACAGTACAAATTCGTGAGGGACACACAAGGACCACATTATACTGGAAACCGACAGATCGGCAAACATTTCTACACTTGGGTTTTGGCCACTGTGTGACACACAATGTTGAACTAGATGGGCCAATGGTCTGATATAACATGGCTTCTCTCATGGTCTTATGTACACGCCTTCAGCTACCACCCCAACCACAGCAAACAATCCATTGTCTATAGCCAGGCCCTATGCTATATTCGCATCTGCTCCAACCCCTCAGACAGAGATATCCACTTGAAGGATCTACAGCTGGTGTTTTTGCAAGTACAGTATCCTCCTGATATGGTTAGAAAGATAACTGGAAAGGCCAGAATGATACCCAGGGACAGCTTGCTACAAGACAAACCCAAAGAAAATGTCACCACTAGGGATGGGGTCACAGACCAAATTTTGTCATGGACTGGGAGCCCGATCCATGCAATCAGGCAACGCACAAACCGCCCGCAGACCTCCATGATTCATGAAGTCTGTGGGAGCAATTTATGAGTCAGACACGTGGGCACCAAGGATTGCCAAGGCAATGGGGGATTGACTTCCCTTTCCTTGCAGAGGCACAAATTACAGCTGTGTAGACTGTGTCCAGTGTGTGTTAGGATTGAGATATAACAGACACTTGAAAACAATGTTTTCATAAACTGTCTTTAGAAAAATAAAGTGCTCAGTATAGTATCCTGCAAGGTTTGTTATAGTTTTGCATTTTTTTTGTGTGTTTCTGTATAGTTTACAGGGATCCAGATGTGTTATCCACTGTGAAGATGGAAAGTATTATAATGGCAGGGAGTGTGAGCCATGCCACCATTCTTGTGCTTCTTGTGCAGGTACCTCTTCTATATTTTTTATCTGTTGAATGATTTTCAGTAACCTTTTCCACATTCTGGAGTTACTCCTGATTTTCTTGGGAGTTGATCCACAAGCATTGGAATTGGTTTCAGCAGGGCTCTTCCACATGTCTGTCCTTCCTGTGCATTTTTACAGTTCTAGAGTCAGTTTATTTTCTTTCACATATGGCTTAAATAATGAGGGTTTTCAAGGGAGGGTGCTGTCGTCAGTGTCATTATAGGTGGCATCACAGCACCCCCTTATTGTTCAAAAATGGCCCTAAAATATCACTATAATACTGTAATGTTGTAATTATAGTTTAAGCAGGTTCTCTGAATTCCCAGCTTTCATTTAAAAAAAAAAAAAAAAAGCAAGTCTCTAGCCCTTTCCCTCATGGAGATATAAGCAAAAAGGTATATCTCTGCAAGGGAAGGAGCTAAAGACTTCTTTTATAATGAAACCTGGGAATTCAGAGAACCTGCTTCAACTATAATTGCAACACTATTTATTTATTTATTTATTTATTATATTTATACCCTGCCCATCCTGCGAACAGGCTCAGGGCGGCTAACAAAGCGGTACAATGTACCTAATTGGCATAACCATAAAAATATTAAAACTACATAAAACACACACTCATTCATGACAAAAAGTGTCATAGTGCTATTTTAGGAGCTTTTTAAAAAAATTGAAACCAGTGTCTTGGGGGGGGAGAGGGAGTGGTTTAATTAAACAGTCCAGTCATTGAAAAGTGTGCTGGAGGTGGGGGGAGAGTGGGATGAAGAAACCCGATAGAAACATTAGGCACTAGGGGAAAAACAACTCAAAATTGGCTTCCAGAAAAAGACTGGGGTAAAAGTGGTCTCAAAAGAGTCGGAACACCCTCCCCGGGGGGGAAACCAAAAGTGAAAACTAAAGGCACAAAATTATGTGAGGAAATCAGGAAATAAACCCTAATAAACCCTGAAGGAGTATGGGGGCAGAACTTACAAAAAAATGTGAAAAAGCCCACTGTAGCAGAGCAATGTATATTCAGTTCACTGACTTCCATATTGCACCTCCCCCCACACACTATCCTCCTAATTGTCCTTCAGTGGAGGGAAGTCATCCAGGAAGTGGTTAGGTCATGCCTCTGCTCGCTCGGATAGGCTATGGAAATTTCTTTATAGTGTGGCTCCTACTGGAGGGACCTAGGCTGACCTCTCCAGTTCCTGCATAGCCCTGTACTTGGTAGGATGTCTGGAGCTCCTGCTCCAAGCCAGAGGAACCATTTTAAAACTTGAAAAGTTTAAAGTTAGAAGTTTAAAGTTAGATAGCAGCAGAGCGGGGAGGTCTACGTCTGAAGACCTACCCTTCCCTCCCAGGCTCCGAGGAAGCTGGAGAACCCCAAAGATGCCAGACGGGAAGAAGAAGACTCGCCTCCCCACCTCCCGAGGTTCCAGGAGGAGAGGGAATGGCTGCGACGGAAACCTCCATACAGCAGCAGCCCATTGCCCCCGAGGTTTTGGGAGGCAGGCAACAGACAGATCAGAGGCTGGGAGTTGCGCTGCTGCTATGAACTGAGGAAGGAGGCTCCACCAGTGCGGGATCGGATGAACGCACTGAGCCGGCTGGTTCCCGTGTTCCCCCACACACATGGCCCAAGATGGTGGCGTGGAGGCCACGGCCAGCGCCAGGGACCCTGAATGATCGAAACCATTTGACTCCCACTCCCCCCCCAGTGCCAAAAAGAGAGCACTAGCAGGAGGGGCAGGCAGCAGCCGTGGAACAACGAATCAACGTGGGAAACAGAAGGGGCTAGCGAGCCCCCGCGGTGAGCTTATTCCAACAGGGGGGTGGGCCCTGGGGGGACAGCCCCACAGATGCAGCCGGCCAGCTCCAAGGATTCAGTGGAGGCCCCTGGGGAGGCATTGGGGCAGCAGGTCCATGGGGACAGATGGGCCCCTTTTCAGCCACAATCCCTACAACAACCCCAGGCGGCACAGGGACCCAGCGGCACGGTGTGGCCGGGCCAGCCAGTTAGGTGCATGGAGGAGGCAAGCTCCTGTCCCCCCCGCCAGTGCCAAAAGGTTGGACGGCCCCTCCCACCATCCGAGGATTCGGAGGGCAGAAAAATGGCCATGACAGAGGTCCCTGTGGAGCTTCAGCCCCATTACCCCCGAGGAGTCGGGGGTCGAGCAACACCAGTTGGAAGAGGGAAGCTCCACCAGCACAGGGCCAGCTGAATGCACTGAGCCGGTCGGTCCCCGCTCTCCCCCTCACCCCGCAAGTGGTCTGAGTTGGCAGCGTGAAGGCCGCAGACAGTGCCAGAGGCTTGGAGAAATCAAAGCCTATGGACTCCTGCTCCCCCCCCCAATGAAAGGGCACCAGCGGAAGCAGCACGCAACTAGAAGCCAGCACAGCAGGCAGAGACGCTGGCGGGTGGGTCGCGCGGTGGACGCCAGTAGGCTCCTGCTCACCCCCACATACATAAGAGGCAGCCAAGAAATCGGCTAGCGGCAGGAGACACAAAGGGCCTCACATGGTGGGCCCATTCCGGCGGTGGGGGAAGGCTGCGTTGGGAGCATCCCCACAGCAGGCATGCCAGCACCTACCCAGGGACAAAGTCCAGGCTCTTGGGATGGGATGGGGCCAACAGGTTTATGGGAGCAGGTTGGCCCCTGCCACAGAACCCCCAGCTGCAACCGCTACAGGGCCTAGCCGACACAGTGCCAAGCCCATTTATTCCCTCACAGTTTCAGCCGGGCCCTTCCTGGATCTGGCCCTTAATGGGAGTCCATTGGGCCCTTCCTGGATCTGGCCCTTAATGGGAGTGACTTGGGGTGGCACCCGATGGCTTCAGGACACTGGAAGCCAGTGGAGTGGGGCGGTAGCCCTGGCACAACCCCAAATCCTACACATGCAAACAAGGAGCTGGGGGGGGAGGTCATCCTCCATGGGGCTCCAGAAGGTAGGGAAACCACGCCACTTACCTTAGTTCTGACAGGCTGAAATTAAATCTACCATCACTTCCTTGGGTGGAAATACAGAGAAGCAAGAAGGGAAATGATTGGGGGATGAGGCAGAGACCCAGCCCTCCTCATCCAGGCTATTCCAGTCTGAGCTTTTCAGAAGGCTGCTGGGTTACCATTTGGGAAGTGGCAGAAAAGCCTGTATCTTCAGTCTCTGCAAAGCAGGAAACCAGAGACTTTAAGAAGCCAGCCAAGGCGCAGACTTTTGCTCCTTTCTCCTGCTTTCCTTGATAACATCATTAGAGCAGAGTGGGCTGTTCAAAAAGGTGGGAGCTCCCTTTTGTCTGTCACAAAGCGTTTGTGATCCTCGACAGAGGAGACCGTGGGAGACCTAAAGGTCCTTAAGGTCCTTTGATCGGTACCCCTGTGGTGGCTCCACTTTCAGGGGCAGTGCTCCCCAAGGCTGGGGAGAAGGCTGTAAGATGCCGGGGACAGAAAGACTGAGACAGCAAGGGCCGCGGTGGCTCAGTGGTTAAAACACTGAACGACAGTTCAGAAGGTTGGTAGTTGGCAGCTCAAGACCCAAGTGCTCCCATCCCTGGTCCCAGCTCCCTAGCAGTGTGAAAGCAAGAAGTTGCAAGTAGATAAATAGGTACTGCTTCAGTGGGAAGGTAACAGCATTCCGTGTGCTTCAGCGTGTAGTCATGCCAGCCACATGACAATGGAAACGTCTTCGGACAGAACTAGCTCTTCGGCTCGGAACCAAAGAGGAGAACCGCAACCCTAGAGTCAGGTTCGTCCGGCTTTCGAGCAAGGGAAACCTTTAACACACTGTCAAGGAGTAACTTAGCTACAGAGTAGTCCTCAGGTAGGCTTCTATTCGGGAATCAAAAATTGTTGAGGTATTCGCTGAGACGAAGGAGAAGAAGGCGATGCCGCCGCCTTCCTGCCGCAGGAGGAGACACCATGGGCATGGATATGCCATTCCATTCATGGGTTTCTCACCCCAGGTAGAGGAAGAGAAGGGTCACCCTACAAGCATGGCATGAGATCCAATGCCTATAAGGCCTCGTCCTTCAGAATTAAATAGGGCAGCCACAACCAAAAACAACAAGCATGACTATCAAGATTGGTGGCCAGCCTTCGCAATGGTCTGGACCTTAATTCACAAGAGACCAGTGGGCCCTTGCAAGACCCAAGACAGAAGGCAAGGCTACTTTACTGCAAAAGCCAAGTCGGCACCTGAAGGACATAGGTGCCAGAGAAGAGGTCCCCAAGGAGCAGCACTTCAAAGGAGGAAGCTCCATGATCTCGGTCATTCTACAGCAGTCAGGGGACTGGAGAGACCTACTGAACTTGAGAGGTCTCAACAAAAAAGAGAGAGAGAGAGAAAGTTCTGGACGGAATCCCCGCACCATATCTGGCAGATACTACAGCAAGGGGAACTTCCTGGCCTCAAGATGGCATATTTGCATTTCCTGGTGCACCCAGACCCCAGCATTTCCAGTACAAGGCCTTGTCCTTTGGCCCCCTCCTCAGCACCCAGAGTCTTTACCAAGGTCTTGGTTACTCTGGTAGCATTACCATGCCTAGAAAGGGGACACAACTCACAGAGGGCGGCAGCGTCCTGTGCGTGCACAGATTCCTTGTCAACAGAGAGAAGAGCCTCTCATCCCTACACAGGATCTTGTGCACCTGGGGGGGGGGGGCAGCCAGAACACACAGCAGGCCACCATCTCATTACCAGAGGAAATAAAACTAATCATATGGGACAGTGTGCAGAGTGTCAGGTCCAAAATAACGGCAGTCCGGCTGCACCTGCCAGCCCTGCAGGCCCTAATAATATCAATAACAGACTCAATTCCGTGGGCAGAACTCATGAGGGAGTTTGAATGGTGGGCAATACCATCAAACATGGGGGGCATGACCATCAGCTTCCTCCATCCTCAGCAACAAGGTGGCCCACAGCATCGTCTACCTTTGGAATCCAGGGGAATGGACCTGGAACGAGGAAGTCTTTACCCAGATCACACAAGTTTTCGAGACTCCTGTATGGGACCTACTAATGAGCTCAATGAACTATCAGGTCGAGAGATTCCTGTCCGGATGCAAACTAAGAGGGTCAAGCTAACAACTATATTATTAAAAATACAAAAGTTTATTAGGGTGTACACATAGCTAAAACATATTGCGGTCAAAAGAAATAGTGTAAGTCTCGGATTTAAAAGGCTATACAACCAAGTTAGTTATTATACAAATACAATTGATGTGTAAAATCTTTTGACCTAAGGACCATATGCATTTCAGCCCCTTCGGGCCTTCCTCGGTGGTCATGTTTGAATTAGTAGTCTTAATTGTTTCTATGATCCAAAATTTTAGCTGTTTTTCCGTATGTCCCAAGTCCAGATAGTGATTGACCAATGGCGCATTCCATCTCCCTAATCTGATGCAACTCTTATGTTCCCCAATTCTTACTTTCACATGTCTTGATGTTTGCCCCAAATACATTAATTTACATGAACATTCGATACAGTAAATAACTCCTCTGCTGTTGCAGTTACAGAATGAATTTGCAAAGAACGTTCTAGTCCTGGCAGTATTATGAAAATACTTTTTGGCCTCAGCACAATTACATCTTTGTAAATTCATTAGAGTTCAAAGTGCTCCAGAGAAGAGAATTATTTTGGATACACCATCTACAGACATTAACTCCCCAAGGACTAAATGAAGAAGTGGATTGGACTTGCTGCCTTTGAAATTATGTATACCTGTCATTCTGTAGTTATTAGTGCTGACTTTGTGATTTTCCCCTCTCCCTCTTGGTGTTCTCTCTCTCTCCTATTCACCCCCTCCCACCTTGTAATTTCTTCCTTGGCAAGCATTGTGCAATGCATGTGGGTGGTTGCATTGTCCCTGGTTTCTACTATATAATGATGTAACTGTAGCAGGTTGTAATTTGACCCATTACCTTTGATGGAAGTGACACACATCCTGACAAATGGAATCTTTGACACCAGGTTTGATGGCTAATTTAAATTAATATTTTTAGACTAAAATTACTTTAAAATTATACTGCTCATAAATTTCATTAATTGTATTTTCATTTTATTTTTATGTAGAATAATTTGAAGAATTGGTACGGCTACTATTTATGGCCTACTGTACAAACTTGTAACAATTGCAGGAGCATATAAGGTAATCCCAGCACATAATTCTTAGTAATTTTAACCAAATTTATTACTACATATATTTATTATATACAATTGATATGTAATAATCAGGCTTTTCCCTCTTTTTTCTTAATAATTTCAGAAAATAACATCTGGTCATATATATATATATAGGAAATTTTTATGCGTGTATTTCTGGATGTGTGTCATTGTAATATAAAAAATATTGACCACTGAGGAAAGTCCAGAGGGGCCAAAATGCATATGGTCCTTAGGTCAAAAGGTTATACCCATCAATTGTATTTGTATAATAACTAACTTGGTTGTATAGCCTTTTAAGTCCGAGACTTAGACTATTTCTTTTAACCGCAGTATGTTTTAGCTATGTGTACACCCTAATAAACTGTTGTATTTTTTAAAATATAGTTGTTAGCTTGACCCTCTTCACAGCTGATTTTGGGTTGAGTTTCCTTTCCCCTCCCCCTTTTTTCAGTTCCTGTCCGGATGCCAGGACCCAGCAGCGGAGCCAGAAGGTCCCCAGTATGCCTTCCTTCCCACAGCTCTGTTAGGGAGGATGCTCAAGAAAATCAGAAGGGACAGTTCAGAAGTGGCGTTTGTGACCGCCAACCAGCCAAGAGGACCATGGGTTCTTGGCTCTGGTACACCGTGGAAGCTACCTCTGAGGACAGATCTGCTGCACCTAGGGCCCATCCTACACCTAGAACCAGCGTGGTTACAGTTGACTGCACAGAACTTGAACACAGATGATTAGAGGCACTAGTTTGAACTTGAACACAGATGATTAGAGGCACTAGTTTTCCCAAGAACATAGGTATATTAGGTTGCAGGCAAGGGGGCCATCAACACGGCGCACCTACAGTCGCCCATGGAAGACATTTCCAAATGGGCCTCCGCCAATGGAGTACGACCCTTGGCACCTCCAGTCGGACACAAGTTCCCAAAATAGAGGCACAGGTTCCTGACATGGAGCCTTCTCCGAGGTGCTGTGCGCATTGACTAAACCACCATTCGAGCCATGGAAAATGACAGAGCCCCACTTTCTGCCAGAGCAAGATGCCTTCCCCCTTGGGGAACCTCAACCAGGAGGGTTTCCGAACTAGCAGCATTGTTGGCTAGGAAGGAACGCTGCATATTTCAAGCAAGAGTTGGGCACCTTGAGGAAGCATCCATCCTTTATCCACGAGGTGAACTCTGTCGTCCACCTGGACCAGCCAATTATATTGCCTTCATTCTGCTCCAATCCGGAGCACCCTAAAGTACAAACTTGGCACGACGGGATGTACAGAGAAGCTCTCTGTATATACCTCCCTTTTAAAGGTCAAACTCACTGTGTGTATTGCAAAGAGGGCCTCGTAGAACATAGTGGCCTACTGGATTGGACAGTACATAGCCAAGGCCTATGATGGGGCAAGGACTGGCATCACCAAGTCAGGTGATTGCGCACTCCACAGGAGCATTCTCCAAGTGGGCAACAGCGGATGGAATCTGCAGAGCAGGTACCTGGGCCTCCCTGTCCACATTTGTGAGGCATTACAGGATGGGTCAGTAGGTGTCCGCTGATGTAGCCTTTGGCATACAAGCATTACAAGTTTTGGATATATAATTAACCCACCCTGGAAGAGCAGCTTGAGTACTGCTAACCACTTCCTGGATGACTTCCCCCCCACTAAAGGAGAACGGTACATTGGATCTTGTTCTTTCTCTTCAGTGGGGGAGAAGTCATCCACATCCCACCCTAGGACGGAGAACTACTAACTCAAATCAAGCCAAGGGTGGCACATGGAACAAGGAGTTGAATGCTCCACTTAAAAAATACAGAGAGAGAAGGAGAACAAGAACAAAATCGAATAACGCACAGGCCTTGGACATAACTGGAGAGGTCAGCCTAGGTACCTACAATAGGAGCCACACAATAAAGAAATGTGAATAGCCTATCCGAGCGAGCAGAGGCGTGACCTAACCACTTCCTGGATGACTTCTCCCCCACTGAAGAGAAAGAACCTTCAGGTAAGGTCCAATGGACCATTATGCAGGATTTCACAAAATTGTATACCAAATAATGATAGTTCTAACTGAGGCAGATATCACATATTTGTAGTTGTTGTTCAGTCGCATAGTCGAGTCTGACTCTTCGCAACCCCATGGAGCACATGACACCAGGCCCTCCTGTCTTCCATCATGCTCCGGAGTTTGCTTAACTTTATGTTCGTTGCATCGATAACACTGTCTAACCATCTCATCCTTTGCCGTCCCCTTCTTCTTTTACCTTCAATCTTTCCCAGCATCAGGGTCTTCTCCAGTGAGTTCTCCCTTCTCATTTGGTGGCCAAAGTATTTGAGCTTCAGCTGCAGTATTTGGCCTTCCAAGGAACAGTCAGGGTTGATTTCTTTAAGGATTGACTGATTCAATCTCCTTGCAGTCCAAGGGACTCTCAAGAGTCTTCTCTTGCACCATAATTCAAAAGAATCTATTCTTCGGTGCTCGACTTTCCTTATAGTCCAACTCTCGCAGCCATACATTACTACTGGGAATACCATTGCTTTGACCATATGGACTTTTCTGGCTCATAGTGGCCCAGGATTTGTGTGGAGAGTGTCTGAATATCTGTAGAGGGATTGAAAATAAGGCTATATTATATTATATTATATTATATTATAGCCTTATATGTGTTCTATAGCCACAGCTGGGAACAGCAAGTAAAGCATATAACCTGGAAGCAAAATATGGTTGATGTGGTATATTTATTATCTATATGTAATGGAACAGTCTGCTCCACAGTCTGCTCCCCCCCCCCCCGCGATATCAGTGTGATTTAGTTTGGTCCTATTGGGTGGAGCTCTTGTTTCACTTTCCAGTTTTGTATGTTAGCTGTAGTTGTTGGTTGAGGGAGTTGTCCCCTTGCAAATAAACTGTTAATGTTTTGAGCCTGCGTGTCTCTGCTGTATGAACCTGTGAACAGGTGCCTGAGTGAGTATTCTAATCTGGGAACCCACAGCCAAAGGGGGACATTACAACTGAGAAACTTGAGGCATCAGTTGAATGGTGAAGGAAGCCTTTCTCAGAACAGTAACTTAGGGCTAACATGGCTTCACATAGCTAGGACAGCAGTCATCCCCTCTGAGGCAGTTGAAGCTTCCTGACCCAACACTTCATTTCTCAGTGGGAAGATACCTGACACACCTCCCTCAAACATCTGTGTTTGACTGCACAGAGCCGGAGCAGTACATGTAACTGCCATGGGTTGTGTGTTAGGATGGAGTCATACAGGTGGCAGGGATGCCAGTAGGGGGCAGCCCAATTCCACCTCATACTGGTAATTAGTCATTATCCTTGACAGCAGAACTGATAGTTCAACCGTTATTCTGTCCATTGCAGTTCCTTTTCTGTATATGAATAAAGTTGTGATCCTTTTGTTTTATTCATGAACATGGATGTGGTTTTGTTTATTCTGCATCTTTCATTTCCAACTGTTTGCAATATATCATCTATAAAATATTTGAGGATATTTACAGAAAGTATGACTGGAATCTAAGGATGCACTAGAACTTTCTACATTTTTCTTACTGCGACTCTTCATAATGTGTTAGAAGTCACTCCACAGAGCTCCTTATTTTCTGAAGTGGCTTTTCTGTGACCATACAGTATTCTTCTGGATAGGAAGTTTAAGAAGAAACCACTGTATATGTATTTTGACAGACATGGAAGCACTCCTGCACAAAGTATCTTCCATAATTTTGCTCATTTGTGTATAATGCATATCTAATACCTAAATATTGTTGAGAATATGTTAATATATTATCTTGTTTGTTCTGTTGGCTTTTGAGGCCCAGGAGCAGATGCTTGTATAAACTGCACAGAAGAGTATCTTATGGAGAATGGAAGATGTGTACTGGCCTGCAACATTGGCTACTACTTTGATCACTCTCTAGAAAATGCATACAAAACCTGTAAAAAGTAAGCAGTATTCTTCAAATGCTATGTCTTAAAAATGAATGCATAATCTATTTTATTTAATATTATGAAAGCATGACTAAAATGGGAGGGAAGGTGGCATGGTATTATATACTGGGCTTGAGGCAGCTTTTCTCAAAAGTGATTTCTTTATTCAGCTCAGAACACAACAAACACAGAGAACAATCCCAACTTATATACAATTTGGAACTAGCTAAACCACATCTCTAGAATACTAAGGTCCAATCATGAGTGAGTGCTTAAGACCAATAGGGTTTGTTCCCGCTGAAAGTCATAGTCTTTCTTGATTGGTCCGTTCCACAACATCAGCCAATCAGGTTGTTGATTTCAGGATACTGGGAGTCTATGGAGCTTGTCACTGAAGCTCAGGCTCATTCTCCATTCAGGGTATCTACATAAGGTAATACAGAACACATGGTATAGCCCAGTCTCATCAGATCTCAGAAGCTAAGCAGGGTCAGTACTTGGAGACTACCAAGGAAGGCAAAGGCACACCACCTCTGCTTTTCACTTGCCTTGAAAGCCCCTTGTTGGGGTCACCATAAGTCAGCTGCGACTTGATGGCACTTGACACACACACGACTAAAATACTGGTAAAATGCATTAGTAATGTATTACTGGAATATGCACTGTCTTAATTAAGCAACACTTTTGGACATTAATGTGTCAAGGAATCCAAAGCTGAACCCAATGGGCCTCCAGGGCTATTGTATACAAGTAACCAAACGTTTATTTATTTTTAAAATTTTCATGAAGTTTAATTTCTGTCAAGACAAAAGATTTATTCTACAGGCAATACAATGCCCTAAAGTCATTCAGCAGAAAAACAAGAAAACTAGCTTAACTATCTAACCAGGGGTCATTTCGTAGAAAAAGAGGGGCAGGAGCTCATTAGCATAACTCATTAGCATAACTTATTTGCACATGCAACACACCCTGTCATTGAAAGATGCCTCCCCCATCTTGCTTTACTTCCCCAGCCGGCCTGCCAAGGTGGGCCAGCTGTAAAAGCAAAAAAAAAAACCATGGGGAGGCATCTTTAAATACTACTCCTTCACTTCCCCAGCCTTCCCCAGCTCACCTGCTTCACTTTCAGCTCACCTTGATACATTACTGCCAGTCTTCCACCCTGCTTTCCAGGGCAGCTTCCCCATGAAGGACTATACTTGCTCCACATGGGCCAGTGGGCCAGTAATTATTCAGAGGTTCTCTCAACACCCAGTTCCACAGCCTTGGATCTTGTGCTGCCTCCATGACCTAAGAATCTTGTTGTATTTTCCCTGGTTCCATTGTCATTCTGTTTTAAGTACTGTCCTGTACCTGTTGTTCTGCCATATAATGGCTATTGTCATTCTGCTTTACACAAGCCCTTTTGGGCTGCATTCCTCTGGTCATACCACTCTATTATTTTACTGTTGGTTTAGTCTCTATTCTACTCTGCTATTACAACAACATTTTAATCTGGACATCATTCCACCCCATCCTTCTAATCTGCACAATACCATCTCACCTTAATTCTTTTCTGGAGACTCTGATTCCAGTCATTTTGTGTTTTTTAAAATTAGTTCCAGGTCAGAAAGTATAATTTGGGTCTGGACTCTGCCATTAGCTTTTGGACAGCATCACTGCATTGTTAGTATACATTTCCCCCCTTTAGAATGGTCTTTGGTATTTTATCTGTTCTTTGGTGTCTTCGCCTTGTATGTTTTCCTCTCTCTCTCTCTCTCTCTCTCTCTCTCTCTCTCTCTCTCTCTCTCTCTCTCTCTCTCACACACACACACACACACACACACACACACACAGAGAGAGAGAGACAGACAGACAGACAGACAGACACACCCCTCTCTTTCCTCAGGGCTCCTTGAATTCTACTGAGATCCCCATTGCTCAGTTACAGCTGACCTGCATTCCCTTTTTCTTCTGCAGTGCATTTCTGATGCATTTTTAAAAGCCCATTCATGTCTACTGTCATTCAGTTGCATTCCATTCTGGACAGGCTAAATATGACTTTCAATGACCATTCAGTTTTTTGTCATTGGACTGAAAGTGTCCAAGCAGTGTACAAGCAGGGGAAAAAATGATGTTAAAAATATATGACTGCACACTTGCGGCCATCAGGCATCCCCTATCGTGACAAAGAAACGAAAGCAGTTGAAACTCCTATCACCATGATCAGACAGAAAGAAAACAGCGCAAAATTCTCTTCCCTCAAACTTGGGGGGAGGGAGGGGTAGATGCAGACGGCAGAAATCACAGGCTTCCGGAATCACTGTCTGTTGCCTACTGATTGCATATCTCCAGCCATGAAAATGCAGCCACAATCCTAACCAGAGCCCCTAGATCTGGGGCCAAGACCCAACAAAGTGCTAACTGCAGCCTCATTGAGGAAATGCCTGTTGTTCCTGACCATGGAAGGCAGCACTTTGTGAGCAGGGAGCCACAATGTTTTCCCTTGGAGCGCTCTGTCATTTAAATCTGCATGACAGTGGCAAAGTGACAGCACTTGGGGCTGCAGCAGAAAGCTTTATGCTTTCAAAAGCAAAGGTGGAAGGCGTGAGGGAGGGGGAGTTCAAGGGCTGCGCTTGCTCTCCTCTTGCGCACTCCCCTTTGCTCTTGCCCAGCCTCCGAGTTTCACTCACAGAGACCCACAGCAGTGGGAACTGAAGCTGGAAAAACCTCTCAGACACAAAGCAAGACCGGGGAGTTGTGGGGAGTGGGAAGCAAGACATGCTTGGGATTGAGTAGCTGTGATGTGCAGCAATCACACCACGGCAGGCCCACTTGCTGTAGCCCAGGGGGAAGCCTGCCTCACACATGCACACACGCCCGTACAGCTCAGGGAAAGGCACCAGAGGAGAGCAGAGTGCGGGGCTGCTGCTTAGAATCTGTGCTGCCTGCTTGGGTGAAAGAAGAAGAGTGAGGCGCACGTGCACACGCACACACACACAGCAGAGAGCCGCATGCACCAGCCACAAGAGAGAGCGTGTGCTCGCTGTCTTTCTCACTCTTTTTTTTCGCTAGCTCTCTCTCTCTCTCACGCAGACACATCCTGGAGGAAGCCGAGGAAGAGGTGGGCAGGCCCGTCCCCTCAGCTCCTTACTACCGGAGTGCCGCTCCTCTGCACTCCGGTTCCAACGGACCCCTGTATCTAACACATTTTCAAAACTTTCACTAGATGGCACAAACCTGAAGTCCAAGATTCAATGACCGCAGCTTAAGCTTTCTCTGTGTTGCTGTCTATTGCAGTACAAGCATATCATAGTCCAGGCCTTCAGTCCATTGGAATCCAAGCTACTTTCCTTTTGCAGGCTCTTAGCTCAATTATAGTTTTTTGGCCAAGGAATATCAGGTGATGATGACATCCAATTAGGATACACTCTTGCTGGAACCCTCTAGAAAATTGCCTCATCACCCCTGAACCTGTGGGCCACAGGTTCTCATGAGAAGCTAATTAACACATTTCCCGCTCTGGCCATGAAGATGATAAGGGCTATGTAGGCTGAGAGACCAATTCATAACACCTGCAGGATTGTACAAGCCTCTTACCAATCACATTTACCCTTGAGTGGGGCAGGGGTGCTTTGCCTCACACCATATATGGGTTTTTTGGATTATTTCTAGCTTGTATACAGGGGTCATTTCCTGCGGGAGCACACAGGAGCGGAGCTCCAGCAGTAAGGAACCCAGGGGATGGGCACATGCAACAAGCCCTGCCCCCTTCTCCCAGCAGCCCTCAATCAGGCCACGAGGAGCAAGAAACTGCCAGGTAAGTTGCAGAGCCCCCCCCCCCAGCCTGCGTTCAGGTACAAGCTCTCCTTCCTCTGTGAGGGCACATCTGTGCGTTCCCCCCCCCATAGCTACCAATCCAAAACAGTCCAGTGGCACCTTTAAGACCAAGTTTTATTCAGGTACAAGCTCTCCCTCCTCTGTGAGGGCAAATCTTTATGTTCCCCCCCCCCAATAGCTAGCAATCCAAAACAGTCCAGTGGAGCCTGAGCGGTGGGTGTCGCCTTTTGACACACTTCTGATGATATCAGGGGGTGTGGCATATGCAAATAGGTTATGGAAATAAGTTATGCTAATGAGCTCATGCACCTCTTTTTCTACGAAATGACCCCTACTTGTGTATATGTATTCTTTACTTTCCTAAAATTTTATTAGTAGGTCATATGAAATATATGTTGTTTTCATGCCCAGTGGTGTTGAGAGAAAGAGTGCAGGCTGTTCTTCTCTATAGCAGGATTAATACTACCTTTCTATTGAGTAGCAAACTGTACTTTAGAATTCTTTAAGCAGTTCTGTGTAGTCCAGAGGTTCAAAAACCTTGTCAAAGCAAGTCTCTGCAAGTCTGAGGATACAATGGAACTCTCCACATATAACTAAAACAAAACAGTGAGAGTAGCTACTCGCACTAAAGTAGAGACAGCCCAACTCCAGGAAAGAGAAGAGCTTTGAATAATGCAGGACCATAGCTGATACCCAACAATGGTAGTGGAAGAAAAGAGATACAAACTATACAACTTTATAACTAAAATGGATTCTGAGAAAGGATACCACCTCCTGTCCCAGTTAACAAGCAGACAAAATCTGGAATGAACAAGGTTCACTGACTTCCATTAGACTTCAACAGCAACACAGCTGGGTCTTGAATGCCACAGAATATAATTTTAATCTGTTTGTGTATATATTATTCATTCCTACTGGCAACTAATGGAAGGCAGTAGAAAGCAAGCCATTCTTTACTTTGGTCCTTGAGAACTAGACCTCATCAAATTCATACCAGAAGTGATGCAGCATAGTGGCTAAAAGACTGAGCTACAAATCAGGAAGCCAGAAGTTCTGACATCAGTCATAAACCCACTAGAGGCAAGCCACATTTAGTACAATCCTAAACAAGTGATTAAGAAGCAGACTTTATTGTAATGGACTTTAAAGACTGTAACTCTGTTTAGGATTGCTCTGTTGTTCTCAACCTTTGTCATCTCTAATATAGGGTTTATAATACTAACTTCCCATTATTTTATTTATTGTCATTTATAGCACAGAGTTCTAACTTTTGTTCTTTCTAGTAAAATAAAGATGTTCAGTCAGTCAACAAGCAGATTACAAAATATAACAAAAACATATGAGTCAAACAGTAAAATTTACTAGTAAAATAATATAATGCACTGGGGCTGGAGTGAAGAACTAGAAGACACATCACCCTAATAAAAGTCACCTCCCAAGCTGATCCGTTACACCACAGCTTTACTTTCTCTAAAAGAATGCCCTTGGGAACAATTGTGTTTTGCATATTTTGTAAAATCTTACACGATTGTCATAAGGGTGACACCAAAATGATTTCCTTTAAGTGTTCAAGCTGTCTGCATGGGTCCCATAGAACTCATTTTGAACTTTTAAGGTGACTTGTAGTTCTTTCTGGCATATGTGAATGCTATCATTTGTCATCTTTGAAATGAATCATAGAATCAGTGTTGGAAGGGGCCATACAGGCCATCTAGTCCAACCCCCTGCTCAATGCAGGATCAGCCTAGAGCATCCCGGACAAGTGTCTGTACTTATCCTACAGTCCATACTTATTATTAACATTTAACAATCTTACATGAAGCTTAAGGTATCAAGTAGAGAGGCGACGGAGGGACAGTGTGGTTAATTTTTTGCCATTTATTTATAACTTGCTATCTTTTCATTAGATGTGATGCCAGCTGTTTCGGGTGCAGTGGTCCAGGAGAGAGAAACTGTACGAGTTGTCCAAATGGCTATATCTTAGATACAGGTGTCTGTGTAGTTGGCCTAGTTTGCAAGGATGGTAAGTATTTTTATATGCTTCCAAATAAATTATTGTGGTTGGTCATTTTTTTCTATGTTACTCACACTTGTCATTTTGACAAATACAGTCATTTTGATATCAGGAATAAACAATTACATTACAATTTCAGATTTACAAAAAGAGATAGTATATGCTAACAGATCTATTTTTTGTCTTCATTTGTTTTGTAACATGCAAATCTTGAATAGTCTTTTCAGAGGTCCTTTCGGGGTGCAGGGGGGCGGGGCACATGACGAAGCCCCGCCCCCTGCTTCCGGCCGCCCCACTTCCAGCCCTCATTCAGCCAGGAGGAGGCAGGAGAAGAGGGAGGGTAAGTTGCTTCCCCCCCGCCTCTCCCCACCCCTGCCTGCCTGGGGCCAGGGAGGGCCTTGGCGGGGCTTTCTCACACTCCCGCTGGCCTTGCAGGTCCACCGCCGGGCCCCTGATGTCAGGGTGTGTGGCATATGCTAATGAGTTATGCTAATGAGTTCCCCTAGCTCTTTTTCTACGAAATGACCCCTGAGTAGGAAGCAGCAGAAATCACTTCTCCCTCGTAGAAGTGGTCATGGAAGGGGAACTCTGGAATGATCTCAATTTAACTATTTGTAAAAGACTCAGGGGTCGTTTCGTAGAAAAAGAGCTAGGGGAACTCATTAGCATTACTCATTAGCATATGCCACACCCCCTGACATCACCAGAAGTGTGTCATAAGGCCACACCCCCTGACATCACCGGAAGTGTGTCATAAGGCCACACACCCCAACCCCAATGGTCCCGGCCGCCGCCGCCGGCCTTGCAGCTCCACTGCCGAGCCCTATGAGGGG